ATGATAGGGGTATAAACGATGGGTTAACTGAGAGAACAGAGAAAGGGTATAAAGTCAACAATTGTAGGCATGTGGTAGGAAGAAGTCCAAATTACCCTTAAACTTTATAAGAATAGTAGGGGATGGATAGGGATGAATTGGATTAAAAAAAGCTTCAAGAATGAATAGTAATCGGCGGATTCACTCTTTTAATATAGTAGGGATTATTAACTTTAGATTGGGTTATCACCTGATTTTTTAATAAAAAAACTTTTGAACCTAGTTTTTTAATTGAAAAGTTAAAAAAAAATGTGTGAGTTTAATTTCTACTAAAAACAAATATAACAGACTAACAGGCCCAATAGCATTCCAAAACTATGTATCCCACAATCAAAGCCACATCAATCCAAGAACAAAAAAAATAAAGTGAAGCCCTCTGGATCAAAATGATAGAAAAACATAATAGGGATTATAGATTCATATGCTTTAATCAAATCATTTTTCGCATATAAACCCTAAATAAAATTCCATGTTGAAACTAGAGAAAATAACAAAATAGTGGAAGTATAAACATACCTTGATCCATATTGTTTAATTGTTGGTCTGAATATGTTATGATCTTCCAATTGATTGATGTTCTTCTTTTCAATGTCACTCTCTGTTGATGAGGATGCAGAGAATCTCAAGAATACCAACAAATAGAGACCATAACCATATAAAATAATAGTAACTCAATAGTCATTATCTTTCAGTTGCTTCAAATTGGTCCCCCATCAATCTAAAACAACATTTCGATCTCTACACTATATTTCCATGAAACTTAATACCCATTAGTCACAATACAACTTTAACGGATCACTTTAATTGACTAATATCCTATAAATAATAGCACCACACATTTTAATACACAACGTGTGGCCCCAAATATGTTGAAATTACCAACAATCTTCCACTGAGCCATACGTGTAATCTTACAAATGTGCACAATCTTATGAGCTCAAAATTTTGTTATCATTATTATGGGTATTACCAAAAAATCTTGTCCATTAGTCATATT